TAAGCCACCCTGATCCCAACAAACCCTCCTGGAACACACCAACCCCCAATGGACCTTGCCTGTTCCCCCAATCCCCCTGTGGATTGTTTGCCCTCAACCCCCCATGGATGCCACCTGCCCCCCCAACTCCCCTAATCCCTCCTGCAAATCCTGCTTGCCCCCCCCAATTTCCCCATGGACCCTGTCTGTCCCCCTGATCCCCTCCTAACTACTTGCAACCCCAACTCCTCCTGCTGGCTCCCCCATGCCGACTTACCTTGGATTGGGTGGCTATTTTTAACTCAATCTAACCTCCCCCTAACCTCCTTGACTGTCTGTGCCCAGCCATAGCTGCTCACCAATATGAGTAAGGGGTCTGTAAGCTATGAATTAATTATCTCTCTGTTTTGTGTAATTACGATTGCATCACCCACTAGAAGTTACTTTTTCCAGCGTATTAAATAGATGTTGCAATGTTGCCTTAGCAGGATTTGGGTCTGTTTTCTCTGATGAATATTAGGTATTTTTGTACAGTTTCACTGCCATGTTTTTCCATTCAGTTGCAATATGAATGACAGTGCTGACTATAAAAAATAGCATTAACATAATAAGATTTACACAAACAATTGTGGAATTGATTTAAGGAAGGTTTGGGTTTTAACAAGTTGTACTTACTTTTAAGAAGTTTGTAATAGTTTTGTTTAGATTTTTGCTTAAGATTCATATATAATATTTCAGTGAAACGTTGCTCTGGAGTGTTCCATTTGAAAATGCATGACAAGAGAATTAGCTTTGCAACTTCTCTGAGGTAGGACCTATCTTTTCATTATGTTTGTATGCAGTATGTAGCACTGAGCCCTGAAATCTGATTGGAGCCTTAAATAATAACCTTAAAAACAGGAATACCCCAGTCTGTTTCACCCTGATTAGAACTTAACTGTGATGTTTAAATCCAAATTTGGCTCTCACACATTCTGAGACTTCTATGCAATGGCTACTGGCTGGAGAGGGGGAAGACAAGAGACAGACTACCCAGGATAGTCCCTGCTCTGGGAATCATGGAAAAGTCAGAGGGGATGCACCATGAAAAATAATTTGCTGTTCCTAGTCTGTCACTATCTAGGAAAAACAAGTGAATGCTGCCAATGTTTAGCCAGTGGTAGGGATGTAAGTCACAGACTAGCATCCTCTTATGGCAGGATGCTGGGACAGGAACTTTAGAGCCTGTCACTCTCAAGAGCTCTGCTTTTTACTTGTGCAGGGAGTTTCCTGCCCTCTCCCCACCTCTGAGAAGCCATGCACTCCAGGCACTAGGCTAATACCTGTATTCATGGCAATATTGAAGTGTAACAGGTAACAAGCAGTGTTCACACTGAGTGTTCTTGAAAATACCAAATTTTTCACCTCAGCATTCTTGCTGCCCTAAATTTTCAGGCCCAATGGTTTCAATCTCTTCATCCTGGCACAAATACATCCTCTAGCGCTGTTAAAACACTTGGGAGGAAATACTGAGCTTTTCCTTTTCTAGGCCTCCCACATCATTTTTTCCCCCACAAAGATGATCCTCTCTGCCACAAGCTGGGTTGATTTTATTTTGTTAGTAGTAGTATAAGTTACATGTTCTATCTGAAGAAATGATTTTATGAGAAAGGCAGGATGGTGCATCTTGTAACTTGACTTTCTCATAGATTTCATTTGAATTTATTGAAAGCTTTCATGTAACTAAAGACACTTCCAAAGTCTAATAACCTGCATGCCAAACAACACACAATGTGATTTGGATATAAAGAGGGAACTAAAAAATCCAACCCAAAACAATTCAACATTAACATTTCCCTAATAGAAAAGTCATATGCAATTGATTAGAGAAGTGATTCTCAACCAAGATGCTGTGATTCACAAGATAAACCCAGAGATTTCAAATAGAAATCCATAGTGTCAAAAGCATTTCTGACCTGTTATGGTCTTTCTGAGTTCTTTGCAACGAATGAATTGCTATATTGTATTTCTGGAGTCAAAAAACAATGAGGCTGAGAAACACTGTAATATGGACAAAAGCAATTCTGTAAATTTAGGAATTCTGCTCTGGAATATGATGTAAACTTATTCGCCTCACTAAAATTAGCAAAAGAAACACTAGCATTTACAGTATATAATTCTCTCTTTATAGAAGCCTATGAAACATTAAGCTTCTACAGACATGTTTTCTTAATAGCAATGGCAAATGATTACAGGATCCTATTTGCTCCATCCCTATTAAATGCTATAGGACTTTCCAAAGTGCTGCCTGAATTACTCTCATTGCAAGCACAATTTTAATACGTGAGTTATAATACATTTTTATGAATGAAGAGTTCAGAACATTGAGGATGTGCAGCATGTGGAAGTGATATTGCTGCATTTAAATCTAAGACAAAAAAAATAAAAATAGTTGCAAATAGAAACATGAGTTTCAGTCTGATCACTAGAGACATTTGATCAAATTTCACCTCCTCCCACCCCTGGTTGGCAGTTTCAGATAAGGAAAGATTTCCATGTGGAATATACAAGAAGATCAAGACATAAGTGCATCAGGGAGCACTTAAATAAGTACAACTAGCTACTCACTATTGTGAACATTGAATCTGGCTGAAAATTTCTATAAAATTTTAAAAAGCCAAAAGAAATCACTTGAGATGCTAATACTGCTTGATCACAAAGTCTGTCATCATATGCCTGCTCCCTCTTCGTTCTTGGACATTTCCTCTTAAATATGTTGAATATAATCCATTGCTCTTTGGTTTCAGCACCGAGAGAGCGAGCGAGCAAGAGAAAGAGCGAGCAGCTTTAAGAGTACATTTGTCTTCTGTTTAAAATGGGCATCTTTCCGATCACACACTGATCTCAAGCTGCCAAAGCAGGATTGGTCTGGAATACCTTGAAATTCAGGTGTGATTGGATCTAGGGTTTTGGTAGGAAGGAAGTACCAATTTGCCATAAAGAGATGAAAGCTGAAGTTCAGTGATCTTCAACTTTCCTCTTACTTTCCACTTGGCATTGCTGAAGGAAAGCCTAGCTGATTCAACTGTAAATCCTATTAAAAGGGATTTCCAGTGCCTTGGCTCAGCTGACAATTAATTTGTTTTCCCTTTTGCCTATCAGGGATTTTCCATGCAGTGAGCTCTCATTCGCTA